TTATGCCACCCCAGTGTGTCATTTTAGATAATATGCCACTGTTCTGGAAGCAAAAGAAGTGTGACGGATGTGGCATCTAACACAACAGCATTGGCCTCTAGTGTGCCATAAAACATATGTGTCTGCAGCACTTTATCCACAATAACAGTAGCAATGATCTGTGATACGGCAGCTGATCTCATATTCTGATCGAGTATAAAGACCTCCCGGACCTCACTGTTTTCCCAATTTGCTGACAGTTTCAGCTGCTGTTCTTCTTCCTTGAGTTAGCTGCTAACTGCTGCTAGCTGCTTTTCCAATCTTTTGTACAGACATTAAGTCTGCGCTGTTGCTACCTACGCTGTAGCGTAAAAGTGAGACAACTTGATCACCCCACTCCAGGACCTTAACGGCAAGGCGGAATAATGGCACAACATTCCCGCCAGTGTCAAAGGGGCTATAGGCCGTATTTAAAGATGGACGACATGACAGATCCCCAGTACTTTGCAAGTTCAGCTGTCAACATTCACAAACGTTTTCTGCAGGAAATGCACTTTTGAGTTTAAAATTGGGCTTTGTTTTTTTAGCTGATGGTTTCCCTATGCAACAAGGGATTTTTAGCGTAATTATGAGTGGCCCTATCAAATTAAGTGGTTTAGATAATCTGAGTAAATTGACAGTTTGTAGTTAAGCAGTATGATTGTTTGACTGCTTTTACTAATTACCAGTTACACCTAGTTTTTAGTGAGGTTGTCACACGATCTCAGCAATTAATTTGGCAAGAACAGTGTAAACACTGTATAACTGAAACTATGGAGGACTAGATCTGCCATAAAGAATAAATAAACAAATGACTAAATTGAAAAATTATTGAAATGATAAGAAAGAAATTTAGAAAAGTCTCATTTATCTAATAAATATGTAGATTTATTTTGAAAATGAATAACCATCCACAGAAATAAATAAAATGTATTTATTTGTTTTACAAATTTTGTTTTTCTGTATACTTATTTTTGTATTTAATTATTTCCCAATTTATTATCTCTTTACATTTATATCACATTTTAGTAATTTCTCTATTTATTTATTTCCTTATTTATTCATTTATTAGATAACAGAGACTTTTAAATCAAAATTTCTTTCTTATTTATTTAGATTATTTATTTATCAGTTATTAATTCGTTGAGTCATTATGTATTTATTTTTAATTACAGCAGATTTGGCCCTTTGTATAATTTTTTTTTCCAAAATCTGTTTATTGATTTTCTCATTTTAAATGACAGACATACAACCGTCCCGTCAAAGTGAGAATGGAAAGAAGTGGAAATAATTTAAAGGCGTTCAATTATTTACCCAATATTATCATGTGTGTATTATTTACATGATATGAATTTTTTTTTTTTTTAAATATCATAAATACCAGTATCTTGCAACACTTCTAGATTTTGAGTTGGGACAAAAAGATTTCACGATTTTGAAATGAAAAATTAAACATAAGACACATGGTCTTAGCAAATAACTAGTATATTTTAGAAGATTAGAGACAGTAAACTGGGTTTGTCCATCAATAGTGTTTCCTTCCTTTATGTCCAGTGTATGTTTATTGTTTCTATACACAGACAATGGGTTGAGCATCTCACGCATACTGCCTGGATAAAGAGTGTGATCCTGACTGGGGTGTCCCCTTCTAAAGATTGTATTTATGGTGCCCCAGATGACCTGTTACATCATGTTACACACTGCACATACTGTACAAATCATACACACATGCACACAGTGAGGCGCCAGGAGCACCAGGGCAACCCCCGGTATGCAAACAAAAGAGAATCTTGACTAACACCCCCTCGACATGCCACATCAAACAGCTCCTGATATAGAGTCATGAGCTGCAGCGACACAATGACATTCCAACTGTGACAAAAACACTGCTCGTGTTTATGACCTGGAAGTTATGGGACATTTTCTCTAAATTCCAATGACCCATTATTGGCTGGCCCTGGAGAGGAGTCGGCCTCTGTGTGTTGGCCCCGGGCATTAGTTGGATTGATCAGACTGCTGGTGCAGATGGCGACAGAGAGATGCAGTCTGGCAGGCTGCAGGGACATTCATAGAGTGGGGCTGCCATCATGATGTTACTGGTCAGAGTTGATGGTGACTCTGCCACACCAGATGACTCCGGTTTTACTTTTTGTGTCAGCTGTCCAGGAGAACAGACACAGCATGAAATGTTCCACGGTAGGATTCAGCACAGTGGAGGGAAGTGTTTTGAAAAAAGCGGCGCCAGAAATAGGATGGTTAAATGTCTAATGTACAGCAGTTGATTTGTGATGCAGTTGTTAGTGTGCTATTTTTTGACAGCAGGCTTCAGGGAAGGTAATTAAAGTAATCTGCATTTACGCTGAGAAGCAGCAAAGCATTTGATGGGAATTCTTTGTTGATGATTACATGCTTGCTCTGCAAGACAGCTAATTTGCATCTTAATTTGTTGGGTATTTTGGTGTCTCTGTCCTACCTGTGACGGAAAATTATTAAAGATATTTAAATGAAAGAGCATACCATACATTTATTAGACATTAGACATTAGACATCACCTGTCAGAAACACACAGCTTACTTTTGTATTTAATTATTTTGCATAAAGCACCACATACTGCACAGCGTATCCTGTTGATACTGCACTTTGGGGTAATATGGAAATGCATTTTAAAGCTGCTTTAATAGGTTTGTTGCTGTTGTTTTTTGAGACTTTGAGGCTGAAGGGCAGGCAAAAACAACCCGGTCTCACTCATCGAAATCCAGCGCTTGCAGTGTCACTGATGAAAAAAGCTGTCCTTAAACATCAGCATGATACGCAGCTGGTTACCGTTATAGTTTATCAGCGCCCGGGGGTGTCAGAGGGAAATGCGCCAGGACAAGATCAAAAGTAAGGTTGCGAAAGTCCGAGTGGAGTGGGCGGTAGGGATGGTGGATGAGTCCAACAAACGCCAGCTTTCACCTGGGATAGTGTTGTTCATGACCTGTGAGATTATAAAGCCTAAACTCAACCACGAGCGTTAGTTGCTGAAGGAAAAAAACGTCAATTCGCGTTATTGTACCAGTGTAGTGCATTTATTTTGAAAGAGACTGTATGTAAATGGTAAATTTCCTGTGAAAACCAAAGTGTACTTTGAAAGAAGACAATGCATGTAACAGGCAGAACTTGACATGGCATCCCAAAACGTCAACAACCAACGCACCCAGGGTACCTTGCACACCGTATCTGGATATGAAAGTTCCATGACCAAATGTCAACATGTGACGAGGTCGGAGTGAGAATGTGTTGAATGCATCACCCTATATAAAGCTGCTTACTATAACAGGTTAGCAAAGAGTTGCCTTCGTACGCACCCAACAGACACAGAGCAACATGAGCAATTATTTAGTGTTTGTGCTTTTGGCTGCCTGACAGATTTTAAGTGCAGTATTTACTCTACTTTTAGTTCTGGTTTGGTCTCCATCAAGTGAAATACCTGGTTGTTTAGGTACTAAATGTTCCACTTCGCTTTATTAGCTAGCTGCTAACTTTACTTCCTGTCAAAATTTGTTTACAGCCAAAACACTGAGCCTGGTCAGGTTAGGTTTAGGCACAAAAAGCACTTAGTTAAGGTAAGGTAAAGATGATTTGGGTTAAAATGATCACCTGAAACATGAGGTCCTGCAAGACAAGCCATTTCTTTCACAGTCATCTGAGTCATTGTTTAGATATGAATATTGATAAGTGCAGCTTCAAAGTCACATTAAACTTGTGTTATGTTGAAGGAGAACTACGTCGGTTTGTAAAATTCATGCATATTATTGCTGTGATCTAAAACTCTCCCAAAATATTTTAGTTAACATGAACAACTCTCCACCAAAACACAAAAAAATTAAGTGCTAAAACTCAAATTTGAAGCTGCAAATTATATTCAGCCAAAAATAAGCCTGAGAAGCTGGAAATTAGAACAGAAGTACAGAGAGTTGTTGCATTGAGATGATACACCGTCTCATCTGGTTGGAGTATGTTCTTTGTATGTGGGTACATTTTGTGCTTCAGGACTGAAAATACTTTATTGTGTTCTCTGTGTTTCGACGTAATCACTCTTCTATTTATTGTCTATGGAGCAGCTCCAGACTTTATATCTGATGACATCACAAGTTTGAGATTTACTTCTCTGGTTCCTGGCTTTGAGAGAGAGTAGCTCATGTGCACAATGACGTATTGAATTTAACGAGGCCATGAAAACAACATGTTGGAATTCTTAATTTAAGTGGTGTTCCCCTTTAATGACTTTGGACGCAGCCTGTCATGTCAATCACACAGCGGCCTGCATCAGCCAGACCTGTCTTTCTAGGCATCATCGGCATTCCAACATGTGCTCCCTGAACTTGTTCCTGGTATTCCCATTTGTTTCCCCAACGGTCATGTCACAGACGGAATGTGGAACGAACGGGAGACTGCTTTGAAATATGCTTTCCCAAAAAAAGAAAGTAGGAAACAGAACTTCCGTGATGAATATGTGCACACTTATAAAAGGACTGCTCTCACAAATTGGAGTGCTCTCTGTGCGCTCTCATGACTATAAATGTAACGCCTGGATAATGGAAGAAAGTGAATCCTGCTCTAGTTCATTGTCTGAGCTATTGTGGACAAAAGAAGAAACAAAAAGATGGGAAGGGGAGTAGCCGTCTATAAGAAGACCTATTTGCTGTAATGTCTTGTGCCTTTATGTTGCTTTAGCCATTAAAAGTCATTTTAAAGCTTTCTACAAGAGAGCACCTTGAATTTTTTGTTCTTAATTTGTCTTCCATACCTCCTTTAGACCTGCCCTCCTTCTCTGTGCTGTTTGCTGTTCTGACTATATATATATATAATATTAGGACTACAGTATTTAGTTTTGAGTAATGTCACCAAGACAAATTCCATTACATTTATTGCAGCTGGCTACTGAAGAAACAGGCGTTGTGATTAACATCTATTCCCCTGCCTTTATCTACTCTGACTAGGTTCCACTCATCTCGGGGATCCACGGGCCACGTCGAACCCCAGCTCGCCCTCCTCCTCTCCGCACACCCCGAGCGCCTTGGGCAGTGGCAGCTCTGATCCAGTGCTTAACGGAGGCCTGTGCTCCGCTGCTTACTGCAGCTCAGCAGGGGGTAGGTACACCCAGATAGGGAGCTACTACTACAGAAGCTGAGAATCAATCACCCCACAGGGGACTTAGTGGAAACCATTATGGGACAGTGAGCAGATGTTATCCTGCAGTAGTCAGGAACAATGGCCAGCGCTTCATGGTCCCACCGCTGCCTCAGCTGCAGCTGGATGTAGGAAAATGTTTGGCACGTGTTATGTCACATAGGACTGTTATGTAAATGAAACTGATGCAGTGTCGTCTTTTTAGGTAGCGCAAGACCTAAACCTGATAGAAAACTTCCTACACGTGGTCAGCTTGCAAATCAGATTGAATTGCCATTTGGTTTCACTTCATTCACTCAGCTGGATGTTTTTGTTGCATAGAGGGCGGTATTTTTTATCTTTAATGTACTTCTTAATAGGAGATATTCACCCACTAAATTATCTCCGATGCAGGTGCATTGGAAAGCATCACCTAAGTATTGAGAAAAGAATATCACACTCACTGCTCTTGCTCACCATCACAATTTATTGGTTATACAGAAGCTTCAGTCCCTCAGGACCTTTGTCAAGAATATTTAACACGCCCATTTTGTGTGCATAGGTGTGGGACAGTTCGTCCCCTGTGTGACAGCGATGTATGTAACATCTGTCACATAATATTCCACACTGAAAGAAGAAAAAACACAAAACATGGACACTACATAACGAGGTCTTTTTACAAGATTATTTGCAAAAAATTATGAATAAACACATAAGCCTTTCAGCTTGCAGCAAAATCTTAAAATACTCTTGACAAGGTCCAGAGAGGGACCAAAACATTAGTATGACCAATAAAATGTGAGCAAGAGCAGTGTGCCTCTTAAATGTACCGAAAAAGTACTGGAAATTATTTTGGCAGGCTGGATTGGCTTACATCACTTGTTGGTTAGGCTGCTGGCTAGGAACTGTTAACTGGGATTGATACAGCATTGTGATATTTTGTGTGCCAATATTCTATCTGTAATCGAACACCAAGTATATATAATATATAGAAATGATTAATATTGCAAATGCAAATAAAACTTTTGACAGCCTACGTAAATGATAAAATCAATTGCTTTTTCAGTCCACTAGATACATTATGCTGCAATAAAAACAACTGAGAAGTGAAAAATCTGCATCTTTAAAACTTTATTTCATTAGCTAAATCAGATGTTGACTTTACAGTTCTTTACAGTTGAAGAACTACAAGAGCATTGTATCCAGGGGTGCAAATATAGACCGTGCAGGCATGGCAGTTTCACTGGGGCCCATGAAGTGAGGGGGCTCATAGAGAGAGAAAGCTGGGCCTTGAGAGCAATTCAGATTGCCACCTTAGATATATTAAATTATTAAAGAGAAATACTGCAATTTCTGAGGCTATACATGCCTTTAAAAAAGGGAAACCCACCACCATCATGGGTTTCTTTTGTTTTTTGTTTTGTAAAATAGTCAGTAGCAATCTATAACAATTTTTTTTATAAAATATATGCTCATTCTACATAAACTGTAAATGAGCAAATATTCAATTAAATAAATATTTTCTTCTTTTTCTTTTGTCATATACATATACGTGATGATGATTTCTGGTAATATGCATGTTGGTGCTATCCACCTTCAAGTCTCTGATTCATGTGACGAGATGGTCTCATATGGTAACTAGTTTAACTAGTTTAGGTTCATAAATACTAACTATGTAGCATGCACCAGGGCCTGTCATTATGGCATGAACTGGGGCCCATTGTAACTTCCTTATGCCACTGATTGTATCGAGACTAAAGTATTGTGGGACCTCTGGTTAGTCTGGTTAGTCTGGTTAGTGTTAACTCCTATAAAAACAAGGACAATGTTAATTCCATAAGTGGACTTGCAACAACAGCTGTGTTAATCTTATCCACACTTGACACACATCTGATATTTGACCATTTTTCTGTTGCTGATTTGTAATGCATATAGCAAGGGAGCTTTCTAACTATGTAGGAAATGAGGCACCGATTGGTTGATTGTTTTTATAACCGCAGGAATTATATGCTTTTCTCTACGTGGACAGATTTAGTCATTTAAACAAAAAAAAAAACATCTTACTTTGGCCGACATAACCACAAGTTTTCTCTTTGTCACCACCATTTTCTTACATTTGCATCTCTCTACATAAAATAAAAGTATATCATAACAAGTTTTAATTCATATTCCTACTTTAGTTTTCCCATTTTTCCTAAATTAACATTTTATGTTAATCTCACCACAGGAACAACTCCAAATTCACCTGTCAGCCTCCCCAAGTCACCTACGTTTCCAGCAGGCCGTGGGCCTTGGTCCGACGAGTGCTCCATCTGCTATGAGAACACGGTGGACACAGTCATCTACGCCTGTGGACACATGTGTCTGTGCTACACCTGCGGCCTCAAGCTCAAGAAGATGTCCAACGCTTGCTGTCCCATCTGCAGAAGGCAGATCAAAGACATTATCAAAACCTACCGGAGCACGTAAGGGGACGATGGCTGACGAACGTACGGCCTCCCTAAGAGCAGCAAAATCCCAGAGTCAGGGGAAGAAATGTCTAAGTTCAGGGAATATGAACTCTGGTACTTTAATTTGGTATTTTCATACGGTTATTGTTGGTTGGTTCACTCGCCTGACCTTTATTCAAAGTCGGTACCGCCTTGCTGGGAAGGTCTCTTGTCTCAGCCTCCACATGTGATCGGAGGTTCCACTGAGAACTTTACTCTTGCCAGAGATGTTTGCTCTCTCCTGGAAGACTTTGAAGGAAAAACTGAAACAATTCCAAAATTCTTCTTTTGTTCAGCCATGTAAGATTTAGGGACTGTCACCCATTTGCATCTAAGCAAATGAGTCACCTTGGGGCTGAATGTCTCGATAATAGTTCTCTTAGAGGATGACTGAAGCTCTGAAATATGCTGTCAACCTGATGCGTATTTCTGACTTAAACTCTGACAGGTAATCATCTCAGTATGTCACAACTTGTGTCTGTGTGTTACTGAGCATTGGAAGAGAAGTCAGTCTGGCATCGTAATGAAGTGATGGATTTCTGTAATTGTCGTGGTGATTATCAGTGTGTGATGTGCTTAGAGATGCAAGGCGGTGCTGGGTAAGTAGGATTGTAACACCTCTTGTACTCGTATAATCTAATGTACCTTTATGGTAGTTCTATTGCAAATGTCGGTGGTAGCTATATTGTTGTGCTAGCTAGCTGCTTGCTCTGCAATGTGGTATGTTGCACTGAAATCAGCATTGTCCTCTTAGAAACGCCCCGTTGTAGACAGAGAGGATAAAGACACTTATCGGTTCAAATCAAATCATACAACCCTGCGTCCAGCAGACTGAGCAGCTCCGAATCTATGAAAGGAAACAGGAAGTGAAAGAAACATTTGAATTCTCCTCAGGGCCAGCAGTCTTTTTTAAGAAGATGTGAAGTATTTTCCCAAACTTTACCTATAACCATGCCTAATACACTGTGAGCGCTCATGACGAATTGACAGGACCTCTAAAATAGATCCCATCAGTGGTGTAGTGGTAGCTGATGAGATGGTATACAGCAAGGCAGAGGGGTAGGTTACCAAGAAGGAAGTGGGTATACTCTCCTGATTATTCCAATGACTTTTTGACTGATGGGTGGGAAAAAGAGGTGAGTATACCCCTTATACCTGCATATACCCTCCACTACACCACTAACTCCCATACCAACACATAAAGTCAAAGGATTGTTGCCACCACAGATACAACACAGCCTCCTGCCTTAAACCAGAAAAGGTTCATTTATAACACACGGATGTATCATATTGTGTTTCCTGCCGTTTTCCAAAACCCTCGACACGCTACCAAATAATGCTGTTGCGTGGCACAAACTGTCACAAAATGTTTACTCAGAGGAGAAAAAGCACACAAATTTAAAATTATTTTTGTAACGCAAATCAATGACATTTCGGATATTTAACTGAAATGTTTAATAACCTTTGTGACAGGCCTTTCACCAGCAGCAAAAATCCTTTACAGAAACCAGTTCAGGGTAGGGATGCACCGATTGTTAAATTTTGAGCCAATAACTGGACCGATATTTAAAATAAAAATTTGGCCAATAGCCTATGCCAATGTTTTTTAGTTCATTCATTCATTCATTCGTAAACTGTATTTCCTGTTGGGAGCCTTCCCCAGCTGATATTGGGCGAGAGGCAGGGTACACCCTGGACAGGTCACCAGACTATCACAGGGCTGACACATAGAGACAGACAACCACACGCTCACATTCACACCTACAGACAATTTAGAGTCACCAGTTGTCTTTGGACTGTGGGAGGAAGCTGGAGTACCCAGAGACAACCCACGCTGACACTGGGAGAACATGCAAACTCCCTCACCCTGGTTTCGAACCCCCCGCTTTGGGTTTTAACCAGGAAACCTCTTGCTGTGAGGTGACAATGCTAACCACTGCAGCACCGTGCCACATGATCCTTCGAGCCTGAATGAACCAGCAACCTAAGGATCCTTAGGTTGCCTTTTTATCGACATATATATTATATATATTTATAATGCACCCAATATTTGTCTTTTATTGCCTTGAAAAAGCAATATAAACTGTTTTTATTCCAATTTTTTTTCTCCACAATTTGAACACACCATAAGAACGTTAGAAATTACTTTCAGCTCCAGCTCTAGCTACCAGCTGCTAACAACTAACATTAGCTAGCTTCTCCCATTTATTTTAACATTGGTTTGTTGTTCAACGTAGCATTATCAGTGAATAAAAATGGTGCGCAACCTGACGTGTCATAGTGAGTTTACAGCGCTCTTTCGTCCCAGTGGAGTCCCTGGGAAGATCTATGTTCGTCCCAAGCATGTTTTCTGACGCCCCTGGGAAGACAGAACAGCATTCGTCTCAAGTCCTGGTTTTTAGCTTGAGCAGAATTGATGTGACACAACAGAAAAACATCGGCCACTGCCATTGGCGAATGTCATCTAATTTGCCGATCGGCTGATGGCAGTCAACAAGGCGATTATCGGCTGTTAAGGATCGGTGCATCCCTGGTTCAGGGGCAGGGAAATTTAAAAAAAAAAAAAAGCTCATATTTTGAATATTTGTATGACTCTTATCCCCTAATTTCAGAATAAAATGTCTTGATACATCCCCCACAAATTACACCTCTAAATACAGCAACTCAGCAGTAAGCCATAGCTTATAACAAGACACCACTTGAAGCTGAGAGGTTGTTGTTTTTTTTAATGACATGTTCTTCATTTTGTAGATAATCAACGAACGGGGCTCAAACCTATGCTGCTATGGTATTTGCCAGCTGTCCTTTCCGGGCAAATGCTGACAGTGATGTTTCACACATCCCTCCTCCCACATTACAGTTTGATTACGCTACTGCTTGAAGTGTTAATTCACATTTGAATGTTAACTTATGTATTTAGAGAGATTTTTATCGGTGTGCTTGAATTGAAAAAACAAAGAAAAAAAAGTTTTGTCTGTTTTTTGTTGCTTTTTTTTAAGTTTATTTTGATTGATAATTACAATTTTGAGATTTGTTTTCCTGTTTATCTATCTTTCTATCTTTCCTGAGAATTAAATTCTTTCTTTTTTTCTAGTAGTGAGAACATAGAGAGTTTCTTGTACCTTTTGGCAATAAGAGATATTGCAGTACACAATCAAAACCTCTTTGCTTTGGGGTGCAAGATATAAACTCTTGGTTTTATTACAATCCTTGAATTTCAGGAGCTCTTTTTTGTAATTTATCTTCTTGTGTGTGAGCCCACGTTAGGAAGCCCTGTGTTTATATCTCCTATCATTATATAGTCTAAAAGCCATCCCTGTATGGCAATGATAAATGTCACTTTATAAAGCTACTGATTGTAATCTTGTAAATGTTTAGGCCAGTGTTGCTCTCTGAGACTCAACCATGGCATGTATTATTTTGACACTCCGACCAAATTGAATCTGTTTTTCCTTTCTTTTTTATACATTGTATAAATGTAAGTCCCTTGGTGCAAGACCTTGTATTCAGTTTGGGCTTTCAACATTTACATTCATCATTTTTTTTCAACCTCATTAATTAATAAACACAAACCACAATCCATGCAAAGCTAATTTTTTATCAGTAAATTGTTCTATACGTACATTTTAATGGAAGGTAATTTTATTTTCTGCATCCAGAAACTCCACAGGCTCCTTGAATGTCACTGATCCTGTAATGTACTATTTATTTGTCCATCACTGACGTGTGGACTAATTCCTCCAAACTTGCTTTTCCTGTGTGTTTGCTTTCTTCTACATTGCCACTATATATCTCCTCTGTGTCCGGCCAATCACATAGCAGCACATTTAGAGGTTCTTTCTGTAGATCTTAGTACTTTTCGTCATGCATGAGTAATCTGTTTATTCTGCGTGAACAACGGGACCAACCAAGTAGACGAGCATCAGAGTGGAACGCTGTTAGTGTTCGTGTAGACTGGAACCTGCAGTGGCTAGAAGTACTATATATATATATATATACACAGCCATTGTTGTGACAAAGCAGCTGAAGTACTTTGCAAACCTGTATTTTCTTTCTTTTTCATTTGAAACAACAAGTGTTTGTTTGTGAACTCTGTTCAGTGTGAGTCGGATGATTGTGGTTAATAAACTTTCCAGATGTGTTTGAGCAAAAATTGTTGGTTTCGTCACTGAATTAACATTTACACAGATACATTTATTTTAAAGTGACAGCCATATCTGTAGGTTGTGTACCTTAAAGCTGCAATGATTTATCTTAATCTATCTTAATGTATCTCTACACTTGGCACCATACTTACATTTGGCCATGTTGTTAAACTAGTTTGCTGTCTCTGTCAATTACTTAGTCATTAGTCTTTCTATAGCAGGAAATGGCACTTAAACGTAAAGGTATGTACCTGAAATTAACTGTACTTCAAAATAAAGTGTGTTTTTTACATACTTGATACGTTTGCAAGACACTTGTGGTCCAATCAGAATGGACCTGCAATGCACTTTTGGGCCGTGACCCACAAGTTGAGGAACCACTGCTTTAAACAAGCTCCGATTTGATGATGGATATGGTAAATATTGAACATTTGACACAGTGTGTCGAATGTTCATTGTTAAAAGCCGCAGGCACTGATAAGATGGCCGAATCCAAGTCACTTCCAAAGAACTTCCCGTCACTTTAAAAATTAAATTCACTGGGGTGTCGGTGGCTTAGTGGTAGAGCAGGCGCCCCATGTACAAGGCTGTTGCTGCAGTGGCCCAGGTTCGACCCCAGCCTGTGGCCCTTTGCTGCATGCCACTCCCTCTCTCTCTCCCCCTTTCACACTTGTCTGTCCTATCAAATAAAAAGTTAAAAAATGCCCCAAAAAATATCTTAAAAAACAAATCTAAATTCACTTATTTAAAGGACTCAAACATGATCCAAACATTGTTCTGAATTAACTTCTTAAAGAAGCAAAACTAAAACTTCATTAATGTTATAAAAACAGTCAAACAGGGGTCAAAAGACCTAACCATTACTTCAGCTGCTCAACAAATTACTGAAGCCACATTCATATTACCTGCGTCTAAGTGGGGCCATGCACATTTATTCATTCAAACTGCTATGACACACAATGATAGCATTGACATATTAATACTAGGTCTATATAAAAGATATTCTCACAACCATGTTACCAAACATTTGAGCAACATTAGCATGCAGTTATAGTAGTGTGTAGCCAAAAGTAAGTCTAATATTGACTCTCCTTTTAGCTCTGTTTTGGCCTCCACCAACCCCTGAGAAAATATCTGGCTCATTAGCTAGTAAATGCTTTGCTATCATTATGTTAGCTGGTTGCTAATCTAATCTGGGAAGGCAGCACACAGTTTATCAGAGCTTGTTTGCTGAAAACAGCTGCCTGCTGCAGCTTTAGGGTGACCATATTTTGATTTCCAAAAAAGAGGACACTCGGCCCGGCCACGAGATAGCCTACTTAAATGATACTCAGAGTTTACTCAAAGATGCCTTATAATTTTAATATATTTAAAGTTTATATGTATGGATAGAATATTCACTTATATTACAAAATAATATCTCTCAAAGACAGAAATGTCCGGGCAAAAGAGGACGTTTGGTCAGCCTAGGCTAGATGAATAGAGTGGAGAGAACCAAACAGTAAAGTTGCTGGAAAACCAGCAGCAAAATGAAAACTAAGGAACTGCAGATTTGGGTGAGCGCTATCTGACAGTTGTGTTTCTGCCCACCTGAGAAATGTAAGTCCAATATTTGCTTTAGCTACTTAGGTTGCTTAGACTTAGTCTCCACGAACTCCTAAACCCAGTAGACCTGAGGGAAACTGCAGAGTCAGGTGATAGCAATGCTTTTTATACTACATATAGTCATTTGATCCCTTGATAGGGTAAACATATTGATTAGTGCAGCTTTAATTGAAAGTAGTCTATATGTTTTTAAGTCTTAACATCACCAATACAGTTTGTGCAATGACGGATTGCAAATTACCAGTCACACAAGTGCTCATCAGGTGCACTACCTACCTATACAAGGTCCAGCAGGAATGACGCCTAATCAAGTCATCTGTGAATAGCCAACTTATTTAGCTGAGGTCACTTAAAGAAGAACGCCAGATGATATAAACTCCTGCCCTATGTCTGACAGAAGTGTCAACTTTTACACTGTTTCCATCCTCAGTCTGACATTGCATCCACTCAAACCAATTTCCATGGGGAAGGGGATCCAATTTTCCTGAACCAATCACCAGAGACCAGCATATCTGCCTGAATCTAAAGTTATTTTAAGTCCACACTGATGTGTAGCCATGCCAACACACTGCTTTTGCCAGAGTTATAAGAGTACAGCAAAGCGAATTAAATCAAACTATGATGCCGTGCAATATTGAGAAGACATCGATTTAGAACAGCCTTGATAGTGACTTCCTGTTACAAAATGTAATGGCTCACGCTTTTTCCCCTTTAAGGACAATGGCCTTGTGGGTAACCTGTGAGGGTGTGACATGTACTTCCTTGTGTGCATGGAGGAAAGCAGCTCTCTCGGGGTGTCAGACAGCGGGCGGCAAAGAGTGATGATAGTCAGCAGAATTAAGTGTCTAGAAGAGCTCAGGGCTACTTCTTAACCGCATTAGAA